ACTGTATTAAATGTTGGCTTCCCTGCTGGATGTTTCTACTGATCTTTACATGTGCAGAAATCTATTTGCTTACAAATGAAGTTTTCTATATATTAAGTTGTCACCCTCAGACTATTCTCCCCATTTTGTTAGGGGCATTTAAAATTATTTTTACTTCTGCTTGTTTCATTGTTGAAGAGCTGAATGATGATGAGCTTGGTTAAGAAAACAATTTTCTTCCACTATCTTTGGCTGAAAAAGCTGTTCACAAAGAGCAAGATCTCCATCTTCCACTCCTTTTAAGGAGGTCTTCAAAAGAAAAAAAAATACAATGCAAATAATTAAGATTTTGGAATTGAGATGAACTTTTTACTTGAGAGTGGTTCAAAAGATAGTTCTTAGTTTCCACTGATTGAGAGCTGGATGTGCAGACTGGTGTTGTGATAATGTAGTGGTATGACAGCCCCTTCTGGTTCACTTCTTTCCAATGACACACTGCAAATGACTGCTACAACAAATCTCTCTGTAAAGTATGTTAGCATACATATGCTACTGAATACCACCTTCAGAATAATACAGTCCATATGCAAGCTGTATTCAGGTTTTTTCTTCAGAGACAGTTAGCAAGCAGGCATCTGTGCAGGAAAGAAGACTTTCCTATTTTCATTTCTTAGTTTTCATTTTAAAAGTAGATTAATGATAAAGTTCACATTTCTAACAGCCAAGCTGATGGAAACTTCTTTATATTGCTTCCAAACTACCAAACATTTCTGGACTGCAGTCCCATCTCTTCTAGCACCATATATAATGCTTTTGAAAAAGCCTGGCAAATCTTGATCATGAAATGCTGCAGAAACAGATGGCATGCACCCAAAATAGAGGATCACACGGTTGAAAGAAAACCTCACATTGGTGAGGTTTAGATGCAGGAAAAGTAGTGAGGAGAAAATAAGGTAGTACAGAGCTAGCAAGTGGAACTAAAAGGAAGAAAAGTAAAGAAATCTTCCTCTGTTACAAAGATATTTTGGCAATCACTGATAAGCAATAGTGCTCTTAGTGACAGCTAAATTAGGTCCCAGAAAATACAAATACATAGAAAGAAACTTGAAGAGAAAAGAAAAAGAAAAAATACCTTCTCTCTGCCTGCTTTTTTTCTTTTTAATTAAACAAATATAGAAGGAATTTTGATATAACTATAACTATCTTACAGTCCCCAGGGTAGCATCAAACCTAACTGTACAGCTGATTCTGAAAAAGGTAACAAGGTTATGTATGAAGTAACAGTCACACCCTCTGAGACTCTTATAGCACTGCTGTCTTTGCTGTGTCACACTTTCCATCATTCATTTTCCCCTCCCATTAAATCAATTCTGATCTCTTAGATTAATAAGGATTGTAAAAACAGACCTAATGTAGCTCTCTCAGTGTCTTTTATTTTTTCTATTATTCCTCATATGCAAATGAATCAGTAATTGATTGCAGCTTGATGTGACAATTGGGCTTAAGGTCAGAGAATTCCAATAGATAGATATCAAAATTATCAGGACAGCCTGACACCTCTTAGAAGTCCGCTGCATATTTTCTGAGAATATAATATTCTCACTGCCAAAAACCTCCCTCTCTCTATACAAACCTAGTACACTGTCAACTAAAGATTTTGCAAGAGAAAAATAATTCAATAAACTTTCTACTCAGAAGAGTTCATTTCAAGGTATATGTATGTCACTGGCAGAAGATTAAACATACAGCGATATTTCAGCAAGCTTGTTATGTCTAGATATGACATGTTTGGATGCATTGCATCAGAACACACAAAAAGAAAAGCACAATAGCTCTTAAGGAGACAAGACAATTGTAAGAAGACACTAGGAACATGAAAATACTTTGTTTTGCTTCCATTTTCTGTCATGGCTTGAAGATTTCCCCCCATAATTATTATTCATTGTAATAAATCTAAACAAACTCTATACATACACCTAAAAACGTGCCCTAAAGCACCACCTTAATATTTTAAAAGCCATTTTATTAGGGACAAATAGAACTAAATGGCAGAAACGAAAAGATAGTCAAATCACGAGCAAACAGCACCAGACCACACAGACAATACGTTTTCAGATAAGAATGAACATTGGTACCAGATGGAACATTTGAAGCCCAGCAGCATTGCAAAGTCACTGTGCATAGCAGCTTCAGGAAAAACAAAATCCCAGCACTTCAGAGGTGTGAGTTTATTTATTTATTTGAGGAAATGAGTGGGAAGGTGTTGGCTGTTTTTTGGTTGACGGGTATTTTTTGTTTGTTTTTCAATCACCTTTAGTCTAAATTCATTTTACAAAAGGTAGCTTTGTAACCCAGCAATACCGTGTTTCCTTAAACAAAGACAAGGAGTAACAGAATGCACACCACTCTCTTTTTCACCCTGTCTACTTCCCTTCCACTGAACTTGCTGGCTTTCCAGAGTTCACAAGAAGCTCTAAGGACAGCTCACCACCCAGCTGACAGGTAACTGTGTCCCCATGCTGACTGTTCAGGCCAAGTATAGCTAAATTCAAAAGGAGCATACATTAATTCAGAGGAACGCCCAAACCCAGTGTTCCCATTAGAGCAGTGGCTGCAGAAAGCTATGACTAAAAATAAGAATGAATACCAGCAAGATAAGGGGACAGAGGGCACCTTCCTGTTCATTTTGGTCAAACAGATTAATTTACATACAATTCTTTTTACTGTAAAGATAATTTTAAATTAGGATTGCAAATATCTAATAAGAAGTATCCAGGTCAGTTGTTGGTTTCTATAACTTCAGATGTGTTTATGCAAATAAGATATTTGTAATTTCATTTGTGCCCCATTTTCCCTAGAAATTACACTATCAATTGCATTTAACAAAATACTGTAGATGAAAGTTGATAAAAGTTCTTCTGTTGACTGTTTAGATCAATATCAATGACATTATTAGAAAATCAAACAGATATCATTTCTTGATTAAATGAGAATTTCAATTCAGCAGTATAACAGTTAAGTTTTGAAACTAATCATACACTAATAAACAAAAACACTCTTTGTCTAAGTAGTAGTAGAGGATAAGTAATGTACTATTTGCAAAGACAATTTGATTTGTAATCACCAAATTATCTGAGGACTAGCATATAGACAAACAGTAGCTTTTCCCCTTTGTATAATGCTTCCAAATCTAAACATTCTCATCTCACTTTTCCTAAACAGTCTTTAGGACTGAACAGCACATTCCTCAGTGAAAGTCTAATGTTCATTATGAACGTTGAGCACCTCTACCCTGTACCCATGTACAACTTGTCTGCATACAAGTAATGCCAGTAATGTCAATAAATTCATAATAATTACGCATTTACAAGAAATCTTTCTATCTCACTAATTTTATTATTTCAGAACAAGATGCTTCAAGATGACACTGTTTTTGCCTGGGGATGAGCAACTTGGTGGCTATATGTTCTGTACTTAAGCCCTGACAACTAAGGGGCTGAGATTTTAAGGTCCTTTAAGCAGCAAGTTGCACACTGCCTCAAACAAAACAGCCTCCTTCAACAGTGACAGACAGTAACCAGTGTAACCAATAACTGAGAATTGCTATAAAGGATGGGAAGAAGCTATAAAGGATGGGAATTGCTATAAAGGATGGGAAGAAGCTCAAGAGGCAATCATCTCCTAAAATATTTAAAGCGCGGTTAGGGAAGAGGTTTTGTGCTCCTGTTGGCATGAGCCTAAGTTGTCACCCAGCTTCAGAAATACTGTGGGCATGCAGATATTATAAGTACTATGATTTAAAGAAGTTATGCAAATTCCAAAATTTACTGGAATGAAATCACTGAGATTTTTTTTAATCCAGATCACAATCGTTTCAGCAGAGGAAGGTAAATTTCTTCTTGGACTAACTTCTCTTAGCTCATTTCCCAATGGCAAAGATAATAGATCATATGGGGGTTAAGTAGTTCTAAATTTCTTAGCTTTAGCTGCATACAGAAGACTAAAATCACAAACAGAAGCCAATTTTCTAAGCTTATATACCTCAAAACCTGATTTTATTCAACTCTCCAAAGTTTTAAGAACAAAAATAAACAGGTTTCACAGAACAATTAATATGGTTTCTGCATTCTTAGTAAGGCAGAAAACAGTGGTTTGTATGGCTTTTTCCATTCCTGTTTTTCAAAACTCCCAGCTCTACAAGAAATGTTTCTATGTATTACATAGCAAAAGCACTTGGTTTTGATTTTCAAACAAGAATAACTCAAAATTCAATCATAGCCTCCCATCTTCACAATTAGTTTTACTACTACAACTGGCAACTGAAATGCCCACATTAGAACAAATGCACTGAGACCACAATTCCTGTCAAACAACAGCACTGGGATGTGTAGGACTTGCACCCACATGCAGCCAGCTTTCCCCTTCAGTCATGTCCTTAATTACAAGGAGCATTTCTCCCAGTTAATGACATGATTTCCTATAACATATGCCTCATTTTGATATAGGCACATCTTCCAACCATTACTACAGAAACTCTGCAAAAACATCTCATTGTTAAATGTGTAAAACTAAATGAGAGCACAAGTAGCCTTATTGATTCCAAAGCCTGGCACTAGAAGTCAAAATCTTAAAACACTTGCACCCTTTATGTTACAAGTTTTCCACTCTTTACATATAACAATTATTTTTTTAACATACGTGAAGACCAAATATCTGCAGCTATCAATAATACACCACATGATTTATACAGACAGTAAAAAAGAAGAAAAAAAATAGTGAGTAAATTAATCCTAACACCTGTGACTAATACAGCATTCTAAGCAAAAATACAAATTTCCATGTAGTTAAATGAATGTTTCTGTGGATATGTTTGTTGCAGATTTCCATTTATGACAAAAGTTTCCATTAAAATCTATGTTGCATTCAGATTACAGATATTTAGCTATCACAATTATTGTATGCAATAAACATACGAGAATATTCAACATAGTAATATCAGATTTTATGTATTAGCTACTTACTGTTAAGGGCCATAATATTATCCGTTCCTGGATGATGGAAGTTTATTCCCATACGCCCTGTAATACAAATAGAAGCTATTTTTAATGTTTTTATTTCAAAACTGAATGCAATCTATTAATGTGAAAAACTACTGAAGGTGGTGAACATTCAGGGTAGCCAAAGCCTCCACCTACTGCAGATAACCCCTCAGAGCACACTTTTAAGATGTTCAACACTGTAGAACCTCCAACGTTTTGTTCTTATAATACGGAAGAGTCACAGAACAGTGAGAAGTATTTAACAAACTCCTTTGCTTTGTTCTAGATAAGTATTACATTTACCCTTTCAAAATAAGGTCTCAACTCTCAGCCTTCTACTTGCTGCAGTTTATTATAGGCTTCAAATGAAAATGGCATTACATAAACACTCCTTACTGAGTAAAAATAAGTCACAATTCTCCATACTACCTGTGACACTAGGAACAGATCACTGGTGGCTAGAATGCTTATGCTACAACCTGCTATTACTCACTGTTTGAGATAAGATACTGTGTTGGACAAAGCTTTGTTCTAGTGGAGTACAGAAACTCATCTGCACTTTGAAAAGCATTTTTGACCCATAACATGGAGCCATGACATACAGCAGGCTCATTAAGAAAGTCAAATGTACTCTGCTGGTGGCAAGAGTCCCAGAAGAGAGGCAAAATAGTACTAACAGTTTAAAGATTGGCTTAAGAAGATTTTCACTGACTATACAAACTGGGGATGGGAAACAATTCCGATATTTATCTTGTTTTAGAGGAGAATTAGATCACAAAATCCTATTTTTACTGTCAAAAAAATAAATGAGCTAACTTGATAAATATTAAGTAGTATTAGAAACTAAGACCAGTCTTAAGTGACTTAAAGCATTAAACACATTCTCTGAAGAAACTTTGTAACATTAATTACTACAGTAACCACCCACTACCACCACTGCAATTAGAAAAATATAATTGATTCAGCCATTGGTTGGAAAAGGATTTAAAAGGTTATTACAGCCCTGTAGAAAAATATTTCCATTACAAACATCAGTTACCTACAAGCATTGTAATCGTTTTTATGTGCTCTGCGTATCTTTAGATTTGTGGGTAAGTTTAGGAGGCAAAGAAGTAGAAGGCTTGCATTTATTCACTAAGTTGGTACTCCAATATAACAACACAAACCAGGAAGTTCCTCTGGTGCAAACTCTTTTCTCTACTACTACAAAACCAAGTTCTAACAAAACGCTATGACAAAACAGAGCCAAAGTAGATCTCCTACAACGTTTTTAGCTCCTATCAGTATGTTAAAGCTTTCTATTTCAGGTCACAGAGACTGCTGTATTGTAATTAATACTCTTTCCGAACAGATGTAACACAAAGTTTCAGTTCAATTCTGAAACTAGAGTCACAAGCAGTTTAAGAAAAGCAAATAAATCTTCACATTATCATTTTCTCATTCTTTTACAAAGAAGTCCTCCACAATAAGAGTATAGTGAAGGAAATGGCACCTGCAGAAAGGAGTGGGAGAAAAAGGAGGCAAATAAAATTTCCGTTTTACTTTCTAGATCCTTGAGCAAGGCTTCTTAAAGAGATCTTCATTAACTACTTCAGATTTTCTCATTACAGACCTAATCTTTTATAGTTCACAATATATATTCACATTAATCTGGCATTGCAGAAACATTAGAGCTGCAACTGAACATTAGAGTTCAGTTAGTATAAGCCTGTGCTAAAATATTTCAGAAATCTCGTCAGAGTAATTCCTTTTGCTTAGCAGCATACTGAATAAGCATGAGGTAGCAAGTATATCTTTATTATTATTATTATGAAAAAAGGCATATATAATAACCTACACTTTTAAATTAGGTCTTGTAGTAAAGGAATAAAGATGACTGCTATGAAGAAAAAAAGAGTAGAAATCAAATGCATAATGCTTGGAAGAGTTCTCAATCCTCCCTTGCTCAAGCTGAAATTCTGCTGTTTTCCCAGCTTCAGAAATAGGATCGTATCTGTGACATCTGGGTTTGGTTTTTTCTTCCCTCCAGGCAGTCACTGGACCAGGTGCTGCTTGCATGACATTTTGTCACCTGCCCTTGGCCTGCTATTTTTAAACTGTTCTTGTCAGCTATCTTTTAAGAGGAGCAGAAAATACAGAGCAGCTCAAGCAGAAGGGCATGTTCACATACTGAGCTAAGCAGTAGTAGGGATAATTCTATGCATCTTCAAAGGACCCCTACAGCAAATCTACAGGGATGTATTAATGGAACACTGTCCAAACTCACTTGTATTAAAACCATTCAAAATGGACTGATTGTACACCAATCATAAGACAAAACTGTAACTGATAGATGGCCTTCCATATATTAATGATATATTCCTAGATTAATGATATACTTTTAACATTTTTACTCTGAAGCAAAGATCACAAAACTGTATAATTATCCAGAGAATGAGAAGAGAGCACAAAAGTTGCAAAAGAATTGAAATACAATTAGAAACATATGCTCTCAAAGAAATATTTGGGTTAAACATAGAAATTACTATCAGAAAACTACTTTAGGAAAGCACATGTATGCTATCTAGACTTTTACTGAGTCTATATAAGCACGTATTTCCGATTTCACTTTTTGTATTGAGCACTTTGATAAAGTTTCTACTTTTCAAGAATCTGAAGGAAAAGAAGCAGAAATGCAGAGAAGACAGAGCACAGAAGTTAGGTACTCCAGCAGTTCAAAGTCATAAATAAGAGCCCTTTCCATAACAACTACCCTACTACTTGTACTCAGTGTGCACCTGCCATTTTCAATTTACTTGTCTTGGTTTCATAGCTACCTGCTTAATATATATCCAATTATACACTTTTATAACCGTACTTTCTATCACTGCAGTTAGATGTCAGTAACAATCATTCTTACATATAAGTCCTTCCAATTTTAAAGTACTTATTTTTTAAAAATATATTAATAATAATTGAACCCAGTTGCAGTAGTATTAAGCAGTTCTTGACTTCTTGCTCTTTTAACATTTTAGAGCATAATGGTTTTAACCATTCTTATATCACAGACCAGTATTTTTTGCAAGTCTTATGTCAATAAATGCCTTAAATTCTTGTTTCTAGCAGCAGTTGGAGAGATTTTTCTGGCTGCACTTCTTCAGTTCTCTGCTGCATGCCCAATATGCTTATTATGGCAGAGAGCCCAATTCCTTTCTCAGAGCACATCTCAACAGTATGCACTGTCTTTTCTGTATTATGCAGGAAATAAGAAGGTGCTGTCTCTGACAGACAAAATTACCTTACATTAAACATTTAAATTCAATATCTTGTTATTTTAATGCATTAATTTTTGAAGGCATTTCAGAACTCTGTCTACACTTTGTCACTTACAATGATCACTTTAAACTGGTGGAAATGTTTTCATTGAAGCTGAATTTAATTCTAATCAAGGAAATATGCTTGAATTCATGAGTACAACTGTTGCCTCCCAATTTATACATTTTTACGTGCTTTACATTTATACTTCTTACGTGCTCCGAATTAATTTCATTGCAAAAGTACCAAATACATGTTTTATTTGCCTTCATCTACCCAGACTTACGTACCTGAGCTAGTAGTTTCAGATTCCTTAGTTAACTTGTTCTTCCACTACCCTTCTATATGCAATATCTGGATAATTGCTTGTATAGGTCTTGAAATAACGCCGTGTCACCAAAATAATTTAGATCTAACTTATTAAATCCAGAAATACTTCTGATATGCAAGTTCTTTGTTCTTTCTTGGAAAGCATTATTAGCAATTACAAATAGAAGAGACTGTCTCTATCTCTACTCACAACTTCAATATTTGTATTTTTTTGTATGTTTTTGCATATAATGTCATCCCTGCTGTTTAATTTCATCCCATTCTCTACATAAAAGCATAATGATTTTGAAACATTTCCAAAATCTTTCCTATAATTTAAAGAAGGGTAACTTTCACAAACATGTCGTCCTTTTTTTTATTATTATTACCTAAATAGGTCTGAATTACATTAACAGTTTTGAGAAAAAACATTGCTCCAGAAGTAATAAAAGTAATAAATATGTATACAAGGCATGGTTTTTACCACTATTACCTCTTTTTTTTTTCAGTGTCCAGAGCCTATAGAGGTTTCCTCATTCTCAACTCTAAAATTCGTTACTCTTAGAAGACAGCCAAGCTCATGAGCATGATCTTTACAACTGTGTAAATCTGATCTTTCATCATTACATTATTTTCCTGTGTCTGAAAGAAACACCAGTGATTAAGTTCCAGAACTGTAAGTATTTCACTTCTTGAATTGCATTCATTTTCTCTTCCTAAATGTTGTTTTTTTGGATTTTGAAATCCTAATCGACTCCTAGATTTCACATTCACTTGATGAAGACTGTTATACCTTATGGGTTTTGCCAAGATCAGCCACTTGCACTAAATTCAGCAGTTGGTATTTGGCACGACATTTGTTACCAAATAACAAAGGCAGCCTGCTTTTAACTGGTCCTGAGCTCACTGAGATCAAGAACTTCTCCTCAGTTCTTAAGATCATTGTTGATATCAGTCACAAGTTTTCACTACAAACTCCAGCGGCAATGTCAAAAGAAATTGTCAACAGGACAAGGTCAACTATACTTCCTTAATAATAATGCCTCTTTTATTGTTCTTCTCTCTTCTATCATATGATTTCGAAGTTGGTGCCAAGATAAGGCATTACAAAACTGCAATAGTTATTTGGAAAGACAGATAGCAAGTAGGGTAGAGCAAAGTTTAGACATAGAGGTTCAAAAATCAAAGCAAGATCAATATACCTCCTCAGACTCCTGAAACAAGGTTAGACCACTGAATGCATGTGAGTCAAAATATTTTGCAGCCTACACAAGCACAACTTGCTTAACCATGAATCACAAGAGGTCAAGGAGTGTGAAATGCGTGTGTATGTAAGAGTGTAAATCTGGCTAGACTTCAGACTATTCTCTCCCCTTCTCCAGCTCAAACTATAGACATCTAGCAACAATGCTGCATTAACTCAAATAAAGGCAACC